TATTGAAGTTAACCAAAAAATCTTCACCAATATTATTATAAAAATAAAAGTTGGGGGTTACCAGCTTAATTTTCATGAAAATGCTGGTTGTATTTTAGTGTATAGTTGCCATTTTGGCAGTATTATAGAGCTTTTACCATAGGTTCCTATGGAAAATATTATGTCAAATTGTATACCGATGGGATAGGCTGGAAAAATAATATATTGTTAATGATGGGCTACTTTTTTTTCCTGAATTATTTAAAAAAACTGGGGTTTAAAAAAATGCCCCAAAAAATTAGTCAATTATATGGAGTTGTTCTAAAAATAACGACAATTGCTTCATGATTTTATTTACCAGTATTTAACCAATGAATATTGTCATGCGATTTATGACCAATTTTGTTATTAATTATGAGTAGGCTTCTACCTTAAATAACCTTTTATTTTAGGTTAATCACAGACCCTCTTCTCAGACGCTGTATCACACTCGAGGCAAACCTAAAAAAAAGTTATTAAAAAATACACAAAACCTACAGTATGTGGTCTACATATAAGGACGACGTCTAGAGAAAAACTGCTTATCAGACACGCGCTATTGTATGAGTTTGGCAGGAGTCCCATGTAATCTTAAAGTAATTTTGGCAATTCCTTCGTGTGTGTTTCGTGCTTTTTAGAGTAACTGAAAGGTATGATGTTTACGAAAAAAAAACACATATTTCATGTACATATAAATTTTACATTCAGGCCAATAATTTGGTATAAATAAACCGGATGTTACAATATTTAACGGGTATTGACCCACATTTAAATAACAGACCATTTACTTTCACTTCACTACGAGATCGAGCGTTATGCGTTAAATCGAACGTAAAAACGAGACAAACAAACTAAGTGACACAGTAGCGTCAACACGTCGCTTGGTATTCGACAAACGCGAAAGTATTGTTGGCGCATCTCCTCGCTTAATAATGTGCTCTCATACTGATGGTCAATTTGGACGAAGTAAAGATATCGCAACGTCATATCCCCATCTGAAACATCGGTATTTTGACGTTGTATAGAAAACTTAAAATCAAATTCGATTTTCGATTTGTGGGACACACGCTCGGTCTGCGGCTTTCACACAATATGTGAGATCTCGCAGTTATCGGAAATTACCTATTTTTTTTATTTTAGATTGATGAAGAAAATGGAAAACAGTCTCAGATTGAACCTCACAATCGTACTACTAGTGAAAAAAGGTACCTATTTCCATTGGACTGTGACAATAACGGACCGAGTGTTCATCACCTAGCATTTCGTGAAGCAATGTTCTTTGCAATACAACTAAACAGAAGTCTTGTTGAATTAAATTTCGGTACACATTGGACAACTGATGTAGAATTCAGAGGTCCACGATATATGAACCAGACTTTTGACGTGGATTTAATGAAAGAAATAATAGACTTGGTTACACTTGATGACTTCAAGAAGAACTGCAACAGCACTATCGACAAGGTACTGTTCAATCCAAAGCACATCGAAGATGGGGCTTTAGTGAAACCATACGCCTGGGGCCATGGTCGACTGCAAGACTATTATGGTATTCGAATACCGAATGACTCATATATTCCAAAAACAAATGCAGAAGCACAGGCAATGTTTGATTCTTCTCCGAGTACGCGCTGCCTAGGGTTGTACATCAAACCAGGTTTGGCTTGGGAAGTACCAAGAACGGAAGAACGTGCCAAACTTGTCAACCTTCATTTTCAGAAACCAGTCCGAATCAGAAAAATGGCAGAAGACGTGACGAGAAAACTGTGTGATGGGAAGCCATACATGGCTGTACACTGGAGAAACAAATCAGCAGAAGAGTAAGTGATTGTATATGTTCCTGTGGATTAGACTCTGCATAATAATTGATTGTATTGATGTGGATGGATTGAGTTTCAGTTGAGTATGATTGGCTGGCTACACTGTGCAGAGTAATCGAGTGCTTGTGAGTTTTAAAGAGTTATTGATTTTATATGTGTCAGTAGGTTAGGGTTTACAGAGTAATCGAGCTGTGGGTGTGAATGAGTAAGACCAGAGTTTCACTAAGTTTCACCAGATTAACAATTGCAATTGTGCTGATGGCAAGGGCTTGCAGGGTATTTGATTGCTGTTGGTTAAGTTTCACAGGATTGAGCAATTGTATACAAATGCTAGAGTAAGAATTTACAGAGTAATTGATTGTATCGCCATGGTGGGTTAGGTTTTGTTGAGTAATCCATTGAATATGTGCTGGTGGGTTGAGGTTTCCAGAGTGATTGTATAGGAACCAATGGGTTAGAATTTGCAAAGTTATTGATTGCAGAGGAGTAAGATTTGAAGGTAATATTTTGCGTAGGTACCATAGGATTTGCAGAATAATTGCATATGAGGGTTAGAATCTAAAGATTATTGATTGCATATATTCTAGTGGGTTAGAGTTTGCAGAGTATTTGTTTGCATAGTTGGTGGTTAAGTTTCACAGGATTAGCAATTGTTAATACATGCTAGAGTAAGAATTTACAGAGTAATTGATTGTATCGCCATGGTGGGTTAGGTTTTGTTGAGTAATCCATTGAATATGTGCTGGTGGGTTGAGGTTTCCAGAGTGATTGTACAGGAACCAATGGGTTAGAATTTGCAAAGTTATTGATTGCAGAGGAGTAAGATTTGAAGGTAATATTTTGCATAGGTACCATGGGATTCGCAGAATAATTGCATATGAGGGTTAGAATCTACAGATTATTGATTGCATATATTCTAGTGGATTAGAGTTTGCAGAGTATTTGTTTGCATAGTTGGTGGGTAAATATTTGCAAAGTAATTGCTAATATAGGTTATGATGAATCAATGTTTGCAGAGTAAATATTTTTTCTGGGTTAAAAGTTTCAGAATACCTGTGTGTGAGAATAAAAAAACGTTATGACAATCAATTGATTGTACAGTTGCTGTGGTTCGTGCAGCAAATGATTGTTGAGATGTTGGTGAAATTGATTGGTGGTACCAATCTTTAGCTCATTATCTTGATGCAAAAAACGTTTAGTCTCACCGCTTCCATGAAGTGTATTGTTTTCAAGCATGCGTAATATACAATGTAGGCGCCTCACATATTGTTGAAAGTATTGAGCACTGGGTCAACTGTTAAAAACAGTGTTATGCATAACCAATACTTTATTATCGCCCACTGATAAATTGTGCAATCTAAAAAACACAAAATTTTGTAGTGTAAGAATTATATGGTATACCCTCTGTCGCCTGTGAGATTTGTGTTTGGCAATAAATGCTGTAATATAAATAGGACCAGTTTATCTTTATTGATGCTCACCTGTAAGCGCCAAGCACAATCAGTGCTGGGATGAAGTTAACAATAGCCCTTTCTATTTGTATACACAGTTGCAATCGTGCTAAGACTAAATCATGTCCCATCGCTAAAGACGTAGCTCTCACGGCGAAATCTGCAGCAATTGACATAAGAAATTTTATGCAGAATAACAGTTTGTTTTGCATCTACGTGGCTCTACCTCCTTACTCAAAGGTAAGAAATTAATATTCACAGTGGATGAACGCAAATAAAAACGCTCATCATGTATGCTCGTTGCTGAAATCTACAACATATATACAGTAGTTTTAGAAACGCTCTTCAAGTAATAGATATGGGCACAACATTATCACGCGTGTATACACGCATTGGATAGACCGGGATTCTGATTCACGCGATGTTCTGTCCGATAACATCAGCTATTCATGTCCGCAGTTGACTCACGAAGCCGCCGACTTGTGTTTATTATAAGCCGCAATGAATACAACTTGTTTTAAAGATTTTGTGGTGTGATAACTGTGTGACAACTGATCGACTAACTACGAACGCGACAAGAAATTTTATGATGAATCCACTGTTATGATAAACCCAGACAAAAATAACAATACTGTACAACTGAAATATTATTTTAATTAATGTACACATTCATCGTGCAGATAATACTAGGTTGATGTTTCCAAGTCGCCGTAATCGTTAAAATTATAGTTGAATCACGATTATATGTTGACCATTTTACCGATTGGCTCTACAAAATATGTATTTCAGTAGAATTTATACACGAACAAATAAACAGATCTCGTCACTCAAACGTGCCAAGCGTCACACACGCCTTTTAAGGGGAGGGGGTATTATTACTGCATATAATACTAGGTTGATTGTATGTCAGTATAATTTATACACGAATTAGCGTCACACGCGTTTTTAAATAGGAAGGGCGTATTTCCTCTTTAAACTTTTCCAGTAATCGGATTATATACAACTGTAAACCCTGTTTATCTGTAATTTGCATCTCAATTAGGAAGTTATAAGCATATATTTTATTCAAGGATATTACTCAGATGAATTCAAATTTAAAAGTGCACACAATACAAACAACGCAGAATAGCCTTGGTTAGTTAAATTAGTTAAATAAATAGTATATGAATATTTGTTCAATAAATATTATATGTATGTGACTTTGAAAGTAATATGTTAATTTCATAATATTGGCCACTGGCCAAAACGTACAATATTAATATCATGAAATAGACAATAGGTAAGGGATCACGCTATATACAACACTAAATAGTTAGAAACGTGTCTTGGTTTTTAAAATGCGAGGTGAACAAATGCATTCATTCAAACAATTTCAATTCAACTTATTAGCTTGACATGTCAAATTTCACTTGATAACAATCAGTACGGTAATATAACGAGATACACTGACCAAGTAGTACATGGAAGGGGGACAAATAAGACAAAAATGGTATTTGTCTTTAGTAGGATTTTTCACACAGTTGAGAGTATTTTCCCGTTTTCTTCGCATTAAATATGTTGGCCTGCTGAAAAAGTAGTTTTAATCTTTAACATTGGTCTAGTTTTAAGTACTTGTTGATTTTTCCTTCCCAACATTAAAAATCTATGCCGCTCGATCTTTGTTTGAATAATTCAAGGATTGTCGATTCGCAACCAACTCTTCGATTAGGCCTCACATAAGCAAATAACGTTAATTTTAAATTGCGAGCCCAACATAATTGTTTGCTCGGTGTAGTTGAAATTTGTAGCACTCAATAACGTAGCGATCGTTTAAAATCTAGCGCCCCCTACAGCAAAGTTTATAGCATTATATGGAATTATAAGGGCGTAATCACGAAACGTTTTTTTATTTAATGTCAACATTCTTTATTCCGTCAAATCCCCATATTTTGGATCCATACATTACAATCGGACAATTGCAAAGTTTTCATACAAAAATAGTTATAATGGTTTCAACTAATACCTCATTAAATTTGAAGTTTGCCGAAAATAAAGCCTTAAAAGTTTGTGGTCTGTGCTCTGTACCATTCGCCTCTCTATAAAACCACTTTTCTGTTGTATGAATCTTACTGCCTTTTCTTGGAAACCATAACTTTCGTCTTATTTTTGTTGACTGAAAATGTCAATCTATTGCAATATTTTTTTTTTAATTTGAAGGGCTGGAAACCTATAACACTGCTACTAAACATAGCCATACAATATGAAAAAGAACTATAATATAATATACTGTAAAAGGATTAATTATTCACTGGGTTTTAATTTTGCTTATTTCGCAGACTGGAAAATGCGCTAAATTAAAACCCAGTGAATATGTAAAATTTAGCATAGAACACATTGTCTAAATGATAAAACCGTGAATTTAAAACCCACTGAATATGCCTGAAATGGTAAATCAGTGAAATTTAAACCAAGTGAAAATTAGTCATTTTAGAGTATTATAATATGAAAACCCGGAAACTTGTCTGTTGCCCGAATCGGTAAAAATAAAATAGCATAGGTGCCTGAGCCCCACAAAAATATTGAAAACAATCTGTCACCCCCTTGCATTCTAGTTCCATGATTTGATAACAATACAAACTTTATCCCCCCCCCCGATGCCAGTTTTGTATATCTTATATAAAACAATAGAGGGCGGTAAACGCGATCAAAATCTTTTTCATATTTCACATAATTGATACGCAATACATTCTCCCAGAAATTGATAAATAACTTTCAATGATTATTCGAATTAATGTGACCAGCGAAATAGCCTAGACGAAAACAAACCTGCTCGTTGACCATTAGAGAATTCAATTCAGTCCACTTTTTTATTGTATTACATAAAATAGGAATGGACATTTTTGTCAATTAAGATATATACCATGGTTTCATTCCCTTCCATTTGCAATCTTTTTTATTCAATGAACAAATCACTGATGTATCCAATTAATGTGTAACACAACCATCTTTATCATCTTTAGCGTTAACAACAAATCATTAAATTCAACCGATATGTGACCGAGAATATTAGGGCAACCCCCCCCCAAAAAAAACAGCTATATAATTTAATAATCCAGATAATAAAAATATTAATGAACAAGAAGATATTTCAAATGGTCAAATGGTTCAGCACCCCCATAATTAATATAATTGAACTGTCAATTAACACATTGTATCAGAGCTTCCTTAGTTCTTATGACACAGTTTAACTAACACTGGGTGCCAAACAAATCCATGATATTTCCTGAAAAGGGTCAACCATCGTGCAGTATTTTTGACGCCATTAATTTTTCCAGCCAACAATTTAGCGCAACATTTTCATGTGTTTCTGCATGATCATCTAGTCACGCAGATCTGCTAAATGGTCAGCCATTTCAAATGCGATGCAGTGTAAATAACTAAACATTCAATTATAATAATGTACAGATAAGACATCGCGAACAAATAGCACTTTTCACACTCTTCCAGTCACCTTCATCATTTCAAATGGCTGACTTGTAATATGCGTTTATCACATATACTTACAATATTCATTTGTCCTTTTCAATAGGACATGTTAACTATACTACGAGATGCTAAAGTTCCAGGAGTGAAAGGTTTTGATGACATTTCGACAAATCAATATCCAGAAATTGCCAAATTGAAAGACCCATACGAAATATCACTGTTGGAACAGGAAATCTGTACACGTAAGTGATTATTTTATAATTAATTAATTAATTAATTAATTAATTTATTTATTTATTTATTTATTAGACTAATCCTAACTTTAATGTACAGTTGTATTTTTCCGTTCACGTTCACAGAATCCAAAGCCTTTCTTGGTACGAAGTTTTCGGCGTGGACAAGAATGGCGCGTCTTTATAGAGATGGGTTGGGAAAACCCACTTTAACTTTAAATGATTTTGTAACTTGGAAGGCAAGTACTGTTTCATTGAAATGAAAAATAAAAAATGAACTTCGTGCGACTCACAATGCTGCAGTTGGTGTATTTCATGCATGCTACGTTCGTATGTAATACCGCCCTGTAATAGCGACAATTGTTAAGTATTTGCATACTTTATGTACAAAATGAAAATGCAAGAATTAAATAATCGAATTGACTTTGATAAATTGTTTTATAATGAAAACCAACAAGATTCTATCATTAAGATTGCTCTGGATTTTGATTATCTACTTTGTTTCAAAACATTGTTGTTTACCGACAGATTTTGTCTACGGGCTAGACATATTTACGCATAGGAATAATGTAAATACGTCTAGACTGTAGACACAAGTCTGTGAGTGGTTTTCACAGTAAATTTATTGACTAGTTGATTTTTATCATGTAGAATTATTAGTAGCCAATCCTATTTTTCATAAAGAACTAACTGCTCATTTTATAAAATACTACAGATGATTTATATTACGTGTAATTATTTTTTTTGAAATATGGAATTACCCACGTAAAAATACGAATTATATATAATACATTTAATATTGCTTGTGGGTTTTTTTGGTTTGACCTCTCCTAAGTGTTATTCTTTGCTGGGTGCCCACTTCCGGTCGTCTTTTTACAAAACGAAACACGCTATGGTGCTATATTTAACACGTTGACATTATTCGGTGTGTCTTCCTTTCACCAATTTTCAAATATTACACACATAACCTAGTAATACCATGTATGTATGAGAACGAATTTATCCTGGTAACACAGTATGTGCGGGAACACATCCTTCTTAACAACACTGTGCATGGGAGCACATATTTCACATATTCATATTGGGGTCAAAACTATCCTGGTAGTGTTATGTGTATATGGGGTCGCGCTTATCCTAGTATCACCACACATATGCATATTCTTCCAAGCACGAATACCTCAAACTGTTGGATATAAACTGAGACACGCAACAGGGCATTCTTGACATCATTTCTTGTATTTACACCCCATCAGAACGGGACACAATTGGACTATTTTTAAAGTAAGGACTTTCCACCAAAACAACGCAGTAGATGGAACCCTCACATCATGTTGAAATGAATGTGTTCTACAATTAGTACACGGCGGGTGTGGGTATGTATATGAGGAGACTAAACCTAGCACCAGCTGTCATAAATCATCGAACTGGACATTGTCATATACAACACATTGTCACGTATCAATTCGTTTTTGTCTAATATGTATGTATACAAATTGTACAAATCATATATTGCATATTGTAAGAAATTATTGTCAATAGTATACGTTAGTTACGATGTGACGTGGATTAAATGAATTAGACATTTATGATTATGTACGAAAGAAAGTACGGAAAAAGCAAAACGAAATATTGAAATCAGAGAAAAATATACATGTTTTAATCATCGGGTTTAAAGTGGATTTATTTATTGGGTGCAGACTGGTTTTCATTGGGCACTGATGGGATTTGTTGTCACCTTGTTATTTGTGTCGACACGTTGTTACATTGATAATAACCTTGACCACTGTGATAAGCGTTTGATTGAGTTAAATTAATTGCAAATCTACAACACTCAGAAGTGGGATGAACTGTATAAATATACTCATAAGCGATGCGAAAGTTGAGGGAATATTTTTGTCTATCTTTTTGTTATGCATTGGACAATAATACTCGGTTAACCCTCGATGTTGCATCTATTAGCAACAGGTACATGGACTCTTTGCTTCAATAAATTATAATTGTATTATAAATTTAAAAAACGACATGTTGTACATGGGTAATAACCAATTGCTTATAACGTACCAATCTCTGCTCAATTTCATACATTTTCATTGTGATAATATGTTTGTACTGACAACTAGTGAAATTGTAATAAAGCTATGTATAGGGAGATTAGACACTGCATCTATAAAACTGTAATCACATAAGACAGCGAATATAACGAAAACATAGTAACTGGAAAGATTTTTTGTATCTATATGATATAATATATGTATCTATAATATTAACGCTTTAACTTTGTTAATGTATTTGTAACAAATGCAAAACGTTCAATTATACAAATTGTACATTTGTATTTAAAATTGTAATTAACGGTGAACGGGATTTACAGTTCTCATACAGGTATATACGTAGTGTTACATCAGAATCAATGATGATTTCTAAAAACACATATGAGGGTATCCAGATTTCCACCAAGAAGTCACACAAACTGTCAATTCACTCATGTAATAAATGTTCCCCATCCGTGTAATACAATTCGTAAACGTAATGACTAATAATGTAATAAGTTTTCACCATCCATGTAATACAATTCGTAAACGTAATGACCACACATGCAATAAGTGTTCAGCATCAATGTAATACAATTCGTGAACGTAATGACTACACATGTAATAAGTGTTCACCATCAATGTAATACAATTCGTAAACGTAATGATTACACATGTAATAAGTGTTCACCATCCATATAATACAATTCGTAAACGTAATGACTACAAATGCAATAAGTGTTTACCATCCATGTAATACAATTCGTAAACGTAATGACTACAAATGTGATAAGTTTTCACCATCAATGTAATACAATTCGTAAACGTAATGACTACAAATGTAATAAGTGTTCACCATCCATGCAATACAATTCGTAAACGTAATGACCACACATGTAATAAGTGTTCAGCATCAATGTAATACAATTCGTGAACGTAATGACTACACATGTAATAAGTGTTCACCATCCATGTAATACAATTCGTAAACGTAATGACTACACATGTAATAAGTGTTCAGCATCAATGTAATACAATTTGTGAACGTAATGACTACAAATGTAATAAGTTTTCACCATCCATGTAATACAATTCGTAAACGTAATGACTACAAATGTAATAAGTGTTTACCATCCATGTAATACAATTCGTAAACGCAATGACTACAAATGTAATAAGTGTTTACCATCCATGGAATACAATTCGTAAACGTAATGACTACAAATGTAATAAGTGTTCACCATCCATGCAATACAATTCGTAAACGTAATGACCACACATGTAATAAGTGTTCAGCATCAATGTAATACAATTCGTGAATGTAATGACCTCACATGTAATAAGTGTTTACCATCAATGTAATACAATATGCAAACATAATAATTATCTCTGGAAGCTTCCTGCAATCAACATTTCTAATGTATTTACATGTATGGTTCAGATTTAGACTGTTTACCTGTGTTGCCGCCTTTTTTATAACCTTTGACCCCATAACTAGGACTAATTACTCGTTGCTATGACAATGTAATCTTTCACTTTGAGTTGAACAAATCACAGTTCTGTATTGTACTTTGAGAACATTATGGACATACTTCAAGTATGTTTGAGGGAGTAGTTCTTGTTTTGACTTCTGGCGTATTAAATAAATGAAACCTCATGGACCTCATATTCTGCTACTCTACACAACACAACACAACACAACGTAACCCAAATCTCTCCCACCACAATAACTACATGTACAAATGTATTAAATATTCCCATTCATGTAATACAATTCGTAAACGTAATAACCACACAACCATACAATAACTTCAATCAGACACAGATGTAAAAGACTGTTATATGAAATGTACATTTTAACTTTTAATTCTTGTGTATAATGTTTAAGAATTGACTGTTTACAATTGAAAATAAAAATACGAAAAAATCTATTGTTAAAATATAGTTTGGATTATGTTCAGATACATGCTGTAATTTCTGCCATTATCGTAGGGTTTGGTCGCGGGTGGTGATTGGGGATGTACTCAGACCCCAAAAGCAATTAAGGTTCTACATCCTACTTTTCGAACATTGGGGATAATAAATCTACTTTATGTCAAAAATGTGTGTGTGTGGGGGGGGGGGGTCTTTAGTTTTACATTTTAATTAGCGTTGCTGGTATTCTACTTGTTGAATGCAACAGGGCATCAAAGTTCAAAGTTGTTTCTGATTTTGATTTTATCAAATCACAGCCCCTATAGTGATTGATCATATGGCCTCGTTCCTTTTATACGCTCTGATACAATCTGTTGAAATAAAATATTTTATTTTCTTCTTTCTATTTTAATTGTGTATTTCATTCTTTATTTTTATACATTTTGTTTTATTTTAATTTAATATTAATACGCTGATTGAGTTGATGAACGCAAAAGCCCACAAGGTAGTAAAAAATACAAAATAATACATAATATGTACGTAATACAAAAGAAGGACAGATGTTTACATTACCGTGAAACAATATAGCAAAACATTGAATAAAATATGTATGAAATAAAAATAAGTACACTTGCAAATAAGTATATATTATTATTATTATTATTTTATTTCCATTTCTCTAAAGAAATATACCCCACTAACCTGGGGGAACAGGTTACAATGCGAAAGTTACAGGCGTGACTTTAATTGCCTCAATAAATTAAAGTATTATATATATATATATACACACATACACACACATATACAACTCATCTATTGGAGGACTCACACTAAAAAATCATATCTAATCTGAAAAGCTGTGTATACAAATCTTGCAATAAATTGGATGATTTCATGGTTATTCTGAGAAAAAAATATATGTAAGTTTACGGATAGGCGAAAGGAACTCGAATTGTGGTTCAATGCGGTTAATTCGATCAAAAAGCGGTTTTTGAATATGGTTATATGCTGGACAAACTACCAGAAAGTGAGTTTCATCTTCAACAGCATCTATACATATTTGGCAGGTTCTATTTTCCACTGGAGTTCCATAATATCTACCGGTCTCAATGTGTAACTTATGATTAGATCACCGAAGTTTAGTTAAAGCTTGTTTGTACACGGGAACACGAACGATATCCAAACAATTATCATAAAAAATATTTGTTGTAAATTGGCGAAACGTTCGTAACTTATTTCTACTGTTTGGGGATCTGCGAACATCGTCAAATAAAGCATCTTTCCAAATTTTGAAATAACAATCTCTCTCTTTCTTTCCAATTAACAACGTTGTTTCATCGGTAATTTGGGAGATAAACCTATTCTCCCAAACAGTATGCA